AAAAAAAAAAAAAAAAGTAGTTGAGCTTTTAACAAATAATACAATGAGGGGCATACATGAGAATCATTATGCATAACCAATAAATAAATAAATAAATATGTTATACTTTTCATCATATATTACATAATTTTTAAATTTAAATATCATACTCTTAGGCTATGTTTGGCAAAACTAGCAGATAAGCTAGCTGATAGCTGATAAACTAGCTTATAGCTTATATGTAATTTTTGAGCTTATAGCTTATGACTTATAGCTGAAAAGCTAGATTATAAGATAAAATGTGTTTGGTAAATTAGCTGATAAGCTAGCTGAAATAAAAAATTCAACTAGCTTATTTGAAAAGCTATCTAAAGTAGCTTATGAAATAAGCTCGAGCTTTTTAAAAAAGCTCGTCCTACCAAACGAGACATATTTTAAACAGGGAGTTTATAAGCTAACCAAATAAGCTATAAGCTAGCTTATTTAGCTTACCAAACATACCCTTAAAAACATCAAAAATAAAATCAAGACATTTTATAACATAATTATTATATTTTCAATAGAAAATATTCATACAAGAATTTGAGGCCAAATTATGGTATCCTTAACAACATACCCAAAAAAAAAAAAAAAATAAATAAAAAAAATAAAAGAAAAGGACCAGTTGGGGTAAAAGCGTAACTATATCCAGGTGACTATGGCCACGGTCAAAAGTCAAACGCATTGATCAATGGGTAGGACCGTAATTGTACCTCCCAAAATCCGCGAGCTTACGAGATCGATTCTTGTAAAACGACGTCGTGGCGGAAAGGTGCGGCCTCACCGGCACCGGAACCCTCGATTCCCCGGCAACCACAATCTCCGGCGGCAGGCGTTTCTGGCTCCTGTAGCGGCTCGGGCTGGCCCGAACCAGAGGGCTGAGACAGAACTTCAACCCCGAAACGCCTTTGCAGCGCGCCGCCGCCGCCCTCCCTCCGCTCCGCTGCACCTGCGCCGGCGTTCTCCCCGCGGTCTGCGTCCGTCCCTGGGAGGATTCCGACGAGTACCCGCTCGATCCGACGCGGTCCTCGTTGCCGGAGTGTCTCGCGGGAGACATTCCCCTGCCTCGATTCCCGCGGGTTCTTCTGGGACGCGATCCGCCGTTGTTGCCGTCGATTGAGGATGTCCCGACGTTCTTATCCCGGCGTCCGGTGAAGAAATCCGCAGAGAACCACGAGGGAGAAGGCACCGAGCAAGAGGAATCGATCGGAACAATTGGATCGCATATCGGGGCGACGCCGGGCACAGGGCCCGTCCTCTCCGATTTCGACCGGAAAATGCCGAACAACAGCGATGTGAATCCCACGCGCTTGCTCTTCCTCTCCTCGTCAGCCCCCACCTGGGAGGCGCTGTGGAAGCGCTGGCGGCGGCCGTGGGTTCGGCACACGGCGGCGGAGGTGTCCGACTTTCGCCGGGAGAGGTACGGCGAGACGGACCGGGGGAAGGGGACGTCCGGCTCGGCGTCGGGCCGCCGCCGGTCTCTTTGGGCCTGGGCTTGTGCCACCGCAAAGGCCGAGAGGCGTTCCCGGAGGCAGGAGGCACAGACGCCGGCGCCGCTAGTGGCGTCGGCCGGGTGTTTCCTGCACCTCATTCACACAGCAAAAAAGGTATGGAGATTTTGTGCGTGTGTGAGAGAGAGAGTGTAAATGAACTCTCTGTGTATGTGTGTGTGTTTGGCATCCTTTAATTGTGGAGGTTGGAGCAAAGTCATGAAACAAACCACAAACTTTAATTTATTTATTTTTTCTAAATAATAAATATTTTAAAAGAAATTGTGTAAGACGGATTTTTTTTTTTTTGGTCGATAAAAAAAAAAAAACATAGGTAAAAAATTGTCAAATAATAACAACTAACAAGTACTCACTCAATTGAATTTAGTGAGTGTGAGATCTACACTATGAGAGCCTAGAATCTACTAAACTAACACGCCCACAATACAACAAACTATATAACTGAATAAGTGGATAATTTTAGCTTCGAAAGAAAGAGTAAAACATCAAAACAACACACTACTCAAAATGCGAACACAAACACTAAACAATAGCAATATTAGAATAACACCCTCAGCCGACAAAACACTCTGCAACGACACCACGAAACCGACACCTGGAGAACACCACCCATACGTAGGGGTGGACAGGACATGGTCGACCTGGAACCGTGAACCGGCTCGGACTGGACCTACGGGTCTTGGAACCGACCGTGGTAAAATTTGGCCGGTTCTGGGGCCTTTGTGTTTTTTTTATCCCGCCGGTTCCAAGTAGGGAGACGGGTCTAAGTTATTTTTTATTTATTTTATTAAAAAATCGGCGATTCAATGAACCGACAACCGGGTCCGGTTCCAGGTCCAACTTTTGAGGCCCGCAGGGCCGTGACCCATTGGTCAAGAAACACGACTCGAGCCACAAATCTAGAAACTCCAATACAACTACATCTAACTAAGCCCGGAGCAAACGGACCCAACTCCTCTCCCGAATGCCCCTCCCCCCATGCGACACCAGGAGCAAAAATCAGTCAAAGCCGCAGACCGCCCCCGTCAGATGAAGCCAAACTACCCAAAATCAGGGGATAATGGCGACATAGGATAGGAAGACACTGACCTCAGTCCCGAAAACCTCAACGAGATTATTGGAGCCAGGTACCCAACCACGTCGTGGCGGTGCATAATGCCCAACAAAGATAAGGCGCTGAAAGACTTAAGATGATGAGGTTTTTTTTTTTTTTTTTTTTTTTTTTTTTTTTTTTTTCTGCACTGAGAAGAGAAAGGGGAAAAGAGAGAAAGGTTCTTTTTGAAAAGTGGAAGTTTAAAACTATTAAACAACACATAAAATTAGCAATTGTGTGAGACGGATTAACGGTTATACATTGACTCATTATATTTTCTTTAATATATATAAATTGTTATTTTGCAAAAGACATATCTTTTGTATGTTGTGTTTTATAATATGATATTTTGTAATGACATTAAGAGATTAAGAGGAGATATGTTGTTCATTATAGATGAATGACGGGTCCATTCTAGATTGTTTAACTGCTTTTCCATTGCATAACTGACGTATTAAAATAACTACTTTTTCATTATATATATGTATACACACACACACACACACGAAGTGTGTGTATGTATGTATATATATTTTTTTTTTGTTACATTCAATCTAAATTTGTGCGTCTATGGTGGCCGAGCCACTGTCGAAGTGTTTATTGAATTTTGCTTCTTTATCTAAGAATTCTAGTTTGAATAAATACTTAGTATTGTGAGGCTTTTTGCTTGAAAATGTCCGATTGTAAAGTGTAAGACGGTAAATTTAGAGAATTGTTCATAATTATAACACAAATACAAGTTTTGAAAAATATGAATTTTTAGAAATTGAATCATTTTTTCACAAAACTCTCTTCTAACTCTATCGGTAATTTGACAAGGAAGATAGTAAACAGTAATAACTATCCTCATGAAAATGGTAAGTACTTTGCAATGTTACCAAAGGTCATGTACTAGTCAACTAATCTAAAAAAGTTGTGTTAAATTTTTTTTTTTAAAAAAAAGTACTTTTAACTTGTTTATTGTGATTTTCGAAAATTTTTACGAAAATACGACATTAATAATAAAAGTATATATATAAACAATTCAATTTCATAAATGAGTTATAAGGAAAAAAATGCAATTAAGATCCAATAAAGATAAAGCACAAATTAACCATTCATAAGCAATAAAAGTTAATATATTTATATAATTAAAAAAAATTATAATTTTGAAATTAAACCGAAGCAAACGATATTATCTTTTTTTTTAAAAAAAAATTCTTAAAATTGAAACAGTGGGCTAGCTCAATAAAACTGCTCTCCTCCAGTCCAGAACAAAACAAGCCTTGTAATGGGCCAAGCCCAACAGTTACCCAAGCCATACGTTAACACGTTTTGTTCAATCATTGGCTCACCATATTCATAAAACCGTTGACTGTCGGCTTAAACGACCACGACTTTCTATTTATATCGCGATAAGAGTTTCCAGTCGACAATCACTACTGCCAACACAATGTACAATTTTTCAATCACGGAGTACAATTGTTTTAATGCGGTAACGTATCTGGCACAAGCAAAAAACTGATTCTCCGTGTTTCTGTTAAACTTTCCGTCCGCCATTGACGACTTCCCACTTTTTCCAGATATATAAAAGCTCCATCACCAATGGCTACTGGACTATGTGCGACTGTACACACTCATGACAATGGGGATTTTTTCTCGTCAGATGAGGATTTCATCGGCTCTGGCGAGGCGTTTGCGGTCGCGTCCGGTGGCTGTCGCCGCCGCCGCCGCGAATGCGGGCGGCGCCAGGTATTTTACCACGACGGAGGGCCACCGCCCGACCATAGTTCACAAGCGCAGCTTGGATATTCTTCACGATCCATGGTTCAACAAGGTAAGGGTTTGAAGATAGTGGACTGCTCCGTTACTTTTTGCTCTGCCTTTTTGAGTTAAATCGCCGTTTATTGAGATCTGATGACGCTGTGTTGGTTGGGGTGTTTGTTTGTTTGTTTGTTGTTTCCTGGAATTTGACGAAGCACCTTCACGATTCTTCTTTTTTCTTTTCCCTTCTTTTTGTGCGTGTGTCCACAAGGTTCTTTGTAGTGATTGGTCTGGAGTGTTTGGTTGTTGATTAAGGAAATAGAAAGGGAAGTGATGATCAGCTGGTTTTGTGATGATAGAAGAGGACAGGATTTGTGATATGGAAAATAATTTGAATCTGAAACTCTATTTGACGAGTGATAATGGATCAAATGAATACAACTAGAAATGTTTAGCCGAACGGGAAAGAAAGTGCGAATATGTAGCCTAGTCCATGTAAAATATTTCTCTTGTTTAAGGGATAATGGTGTTAAGGATTAGTATGTTCTTGGATTCAGGCGAGAGTTTTTATGTGGTATAGTAGCGCCAACTTAACCTTACTTAAAATGCGCTAGGTTCGCTATATAATGCCTAATTGTGCAAATTGCAGAATGGCGTTGGTTTCGTCAGTAAAATTTTGTAATCTTTCTGACATCCTAGATACCTGGTTTTACCTTTTTTTCTCCTTTAATTCTATTTTGTTACATATCTGTAGGGAACTGCATTTTCGATGACAGAACGTGATCGTCTTGACCTTCGCGGTTTACTGCCTCCAAATGTCATGTCTTCTGAACAGCAAATTGAACGCTTCAGTAAGTAGTCCTCACGCGCTTTATGATACTACTTTGTTACCCTTCAATACTCAATCTGACATAAGTCATTAATCATATCCTTTAGTTAAGGGTAAATTAATATCGACAAATAAACTCCTGCATTTAACATGAACGAGTGTTTCATTCCAATGCAGGGAATGTTTATATGCTTTCTTCTTTTGTTTGTTGTTTGGATTTCTGCTAACTATAGATGCGTGTTTTGGCCTTACTTTAATTAGCAGGAACTTATTTCAAAAGCAATGTTGGTGGTGTTTGATGGATGAATCAAGTCTTTTTAAGTCTAGTTTATATCTTAAATTATGGCTGTATATCAAAATGGAAAGTCATTGACTGCTGAAACATGATTACGGAAATTTATTACTTATACTTTTGTGTTTCAAATTTCAATTGCTTATATTGATTTTAGTAATATTTTCCTCTTGTTTGCAAATCATAGTGGCCGACTTGAAGAGGCTCCAACTAAGTGCTAGAGATGGTCCATCTGATCCATACAGCTTGGCTAAATGGCGCATTCTGAACCGTTTGCATGATAGAAATGAGACGATGTATTATAAGGTTAGCGATGAAATACTTCGTGCCATAATAAGCAGTTTATCATATCCTACGGTGACAATGAGGGTTGCCAATTGCCATAATGTAATGCGCTAATGGTGGATATCAAACTACATAATATGATAATTTGACAAATATCTATTAACCATTCTGAATCAAGCTGCTTTGCGCATGAACTTGTGCAAGACCCTAAAAGTCTATACTGTGAGTGCATTATTTATTGTGCCATACGCACTCTTGAAGGTCAATCTCTTGCAGTTCTTCTTAGGAAATTAGTATTCATACTTGTTTAGTTGTGACAGCACTTCAGCTACTGCAGACTACTATTTATATTTCAAGCGAAAGACAAAATCATTTACATAAGTTTGGTCGATTATGGGAAGACATAGATGTCGGTACTGAAATCAATATATATGCAGCTTCTTGTTTTTAGTTAACCTTCTTCGATGATGAAATATTCTTTAACGTTTAGACTTCTCTGTAAAAACTTTTGCGATGCGGTAGTTACACCATGTGATCCAGTCCGTGCACTTAGCAGTCTGTTAATTGTCATTAATTGAATGTTTGAGCTGCTACATGCCTTTTTTACTTTTCTCTGTAGGAACTTGGGTAACTTGCATACTTCAAAATAGTTTTTCTTGGAGGAAATTGATTTTGGCTTGTTAACTTGATTGTAACACCAAATTATGAACAATCCCTTCTAAACTCCAGCCTCGGCATTTCTCTTCATTGATCTTATATTTCAGGTTCTTATTGACAATATTGAGGAATATGCACCTATAGTCTACACTCCTACTGTTGGTCTTGTATGCCAGAAGTACAGTGGCTTATTTAGGCGACCTAGGGGGATGTATTTCAGCGCAGCAGATCGTGGAGAAATGATGTCAATGGTTTACAATTGGCCAGCAGATCAGGTTTATATAGGAATGTTATTTCTGAGTCATTTTCCCGCTGCAGATATTTTGATATTGAATAGGATAGCAGTTATTTAACTGCTTTCTCATAAAAGATTACAAATTGTACATAGGCTTACTGCATGTACTTTTTCATACATTGCTATAAAATTTACTGGCACTGTAGTTAATAGTTACTACTGATATTGACAACTAGGATTATATCTTCTTTATCTAGCTTGTCTCCTTGAAGGTGAATTTCTTTTCATGTTGGTACTTTCTTACTGTTTAGGTTGATATGATTGTTGTAACCGATGGGAGCAGAATATTGGGTCTTGGTGATCTTGGAGTTCAGGGAATTGGAATTTCAATTGGGAAATTGGATCTTTATGTCGCTGCTGCTGGGATAAACCCACAAAGAGTAAGAACCAACCTTATTCTTTTGACTTACAGCATTGCATGGGATGCTTTATATGCGTTACAGTTTAACCTGAGCTTGCTGCTAAGTTCGCAAACTTTATGAATAAAGCTTTAAAAATGAATTAAATAACAATAATCTGAGGCATTTTTTGAACCCTTTAAACGATAATTTTTTAGGAGCTAAACAGGTAAACATTTAATGAGATCCCCTCTTCCAGAAGCAAATAGCTAAATGAAGGCAGGAAAATTTTGGAGATCTTTTGATAGTTTTCCTGTGGCAGGGAAGAATTTTTCATTGTGTTCGCAATGGTTTTGGTGGATGTTCCCTATGCAAATCAATGCTGGAAATAGAAAATACTGAATTGTGGAGTATGTGTTCGCTATAGTTTCTTTTGTTTTCTTATCGTGGGTTTTGGTGTGTTATTAACTTCTTCATTTGCTACTGAAAGTTTGTGAAGTTCTGTTGCCCTGTTCTTTTATTTGATTATGATTATGATTCCGTCAAAGAAAAAGTAACTCGCATCATTGATGGACATAGACATTACTGGATTTTGTGTTCTGTTGTTCCACTTTGTAGATCA